CTGAACAGATATGAGGAGCTATGAGCTCTGAGTGCTAACAGCTAATGGCTGATGTTTTGGTTTTGTGGTTCACATTGAAGATGACGTCGCCAATAGTATGAAGCTGCAGCGTCAGAGACTGCACTCTCAGGACCGCACTCCCACGACCCTAGTTCTTTTGCAACATCGCCGTACTTACCATAGACTGTATATATAAAGTAACATATTACATCTTATATTATTAATATATATATAATTCTGATGAAACGTTATTTCAGCGTAAATAAATGAGTGTTAATCCCAGTGTGTTTAGTGTACAACATCACATGTCACTTCACCTTCAATTCACGGTTTTCAAAAGGTTAGCCACATGCTAATGCTAACCGGAAATGAAGAATTTTCAGAATAAAAGTGTTAAGTTAATAGTTAGTGTGAACTTCCGGGTTTTTCAGAATAAAACTGCTTTAAATTAAAACCCTGTATTTAATTTAAATTACGTCATATCAACATTGAAACATTGAGGTTTTGGGGTTTAGGTTTGGGAGAGAGGAAGGAAGATTAGGATTAGGTAAAAAGGTTGTGGTTAGCCAAGTGGTTAGGGTTAGGATGGGGGGAAGGGAAGATAACTGCTACCCGGGAGATACTCGCTAGGTGGCAGTGTCACAAACAACTAGGGTCGTGGGAGTGAGGTCGTGGGAGTGCGGTCGTGAGAGTGCGGTCGTGAGAGTGCGGTCTTCATGCTTCTCCAAATACCGCAAAATAATCTGTGACGCGTTTTTGTGTATTGTGTTTGTTTCCTGGGGAAACACTCACAAGAAACACCGGCTTTTGTTATGCCGTTCCAAGCTTAAAAGTTGCATTTATCATCTGAATTTGGCGAAAGAAGTTTAATATTCTAAAAACCAAGACGTTGTTTATTTGAAATCAGATGAAAACAAACTGTTGGACCCTGCCGTGTTATCTATGATGATTACTATATGCTTTTCATTCATAATTTCAGCGGGAGGGAGGGGAAGCAGCGCTGAGGAACAGCAGAGGTTGACAGGTGTCTGTGTTGACATTCCCCTTATTGTGGAATAAGGGGAATGCAGATACAGGCTACAAGTGTCTTAAAGTTAAATAACATTTCTGTGAACTGATATTTGTTTAGTGAGCTTATTAGAGGATGTTTCCTGAAAGATTGCAAAATGCTAATGAAGATGTCAGACTTAGTATATTTGTTAATAATTACATACAATACATGCAATTTGTGTGTGTGTGTGTGTGTGTTCCAAGTGAATCTGCGGCCCCCTGGTGGCCAGTACATACATTATGTGGCCCCCACCACCATCCAAGTGGCCCATCCCTGATTTATATGAATTACTATCTGTTGCAAAAACAGAAAAATAACCACATTTAAGGATAATTTATAAACCAAAATGATGAGTTATGTATTTCATTTTTTCAACTTGTAAACTATATAGATATAATGTCAACCATGTAGGATGTTGTCACTGGACGCTGTTGCTTTTTGTTTCTCACGGTACACGAGCACATGTATTTACATCTCATTTTGAATCCAGCCTGACACCGAGGGAGTTCAACTCGTACGGCGCTCGCAGAGGGAACGACGCCGTGATGACCCGAGGAACGTTCGCCAGCATCAAGCTGCTAAATCGCTTCATCGGCAAACCGGGTCCGAAGACTCTGCACATTCCCTCAGGCCAGACGGTGAGTGGGAACCTGTTGGGGAAATACTGAATGTGCTCTTCCAATATCAGAGTACACATGATAACAAAGGCATCCCAACTGTAGCTGTGAACATGACAGGATGTGTGATTAGCTATAAGAGCATCAGGACTGTTTGAGGCATATGATAGCTATGTGATGAACATGATGATTCAGCCTCTATGGAGAGAGACATATGACAAGCATGATCATTTCTGACGTGGAGCTAATCTGAAGTAAACATTGAATACTGCTTTCTATTCCTCCATCTTGTGACTTGTGAGAATTTTTTGATTTTGAGAAAAAGTCAGGATTACTCAAAATTACCGTATGATTACTTAGAATAACTGGTATTCCTCCATCTTGTGACTGTGATTATGAAAAAAAGTAGGATTTTCAGAAAAAGTCAGAATTTTGAGATATTGAAAAAAGTCTGGATTTTGAGAAGTCAGGATTTTGACGAAAAAGTCAGAATTTTGAGATTTAAAAAAAAAAGTCAGGATTTGGAAAAATCATGATTTGGAGAAAAAGTCAACATTTTGTAAAAAAAAGTCCGAATTTTTAGATTTAAAAAAAAGGCAACATTTTCTGAAAAAGTCAAAAAAAAATTGATTGTGAGAAAAAGTCCACATTTTTGGATTTTCAGGAAAAAGCCAACATTTTGAGAAAAAACTATGATTACCAAGAAGAACCGGTATTCCTCCATCTTGTGACTGTGTAACTCCCTCTCTTGTATATCAGCATGTGAAGGACACTGTTCAGGAACTATTTGTACCAAATGCTCTGTATGTGATGACTACTTCCATTCTTGAGAGGATCATAAATACATGTGTCCTGATTATTGAAGCTCAAGCCGGTGACGAGCGATATTTTTCTAACAGAACTTATTCAAACCAGGAACATAAACACCAGTCCTGTTTAACCCTCCTGGTGTGTTCCGATCAAATCCGATCCATTTACTACTTTAATCACTCGTAACTTTTGTATTTGAATTTGGTTGGTGTTTAATGTCCAGATGATTGTGTGTGACTGGCTTCTTATAACATGTCCTAATATGTCCTCTCTTCTGTCTGTGTTTGATCAGCTGGATGTCTTCGAGGCGGCAGATCGTTACCATAGAGACGGCGTCCCCCTCATCATCCTCGCCGGCAAAGACTACGGCTCGGGGAACTCCAGAGACTGGGTCGCTAAGGGACCCTACCTGCTGGTACGTGCACACAACGCTCTAAACTAGGGTGTTTTTCGGGAAAATCTGTTGACCGACAATAAAAAAATCTCTCATAATATCATAAAATTGGATGTGCTGCAGAATATATATCATTTTAGTACACATGCCGTGCACATGTGGCGTAGGAATGTGAGTCACAGGCAAAATATGACTGTAAGCTTTGATTTTGGGATTGTTTCTTCACGTTTTTGGACAGCAATTTAGATAAATTACAGCTGGTCCTGGAAAAGTAAACTAACTGACAATACGCTTTTTGGCAACGATTAGGTCATTTCCTTCATATTGGGTATTTCTTTTCAAATTTATAGCGACAATTTTTGGCCTATTTCTTTGTAAAGGGACCTCTCAAACATTATAAAAGTATAAACGGAAGACTTGTCTGATAGTCACGAGTAGCCATTTCAAATATTTAATCAGGCTCAATAAACACATTTCATATTTTACCAGACTAGCCCTATTTGTCCTGGACGTTGAAATCTTCCAGCACAAATGGACTGGCACAAATCACCTCTAACAAAAACCCTGCTTTCCACTGACCAGACCATAATATTCAACAAGTTTTCACTTCCTCTAACATGGTGCAGTAACATTACAGGACTTGCATTTAACGTATAAAGTGTCAGAAAACCTTGACTTCTCTAAAACACTGATCCCTTTCTAACAATGGAATATGAATGAATATGCTAGTTGTTGGGGAATAATTTGCTTAGGTATTCAACCTTTGACACAGTTCATAATTTTCCCTTCTCTCTGTCTCCTTTCCCATGGCATAGGTCTACGGCCTTGGGTATTGCTGCTATCTCTCTTTAGGAGCAGCTTGGGCGCATTGTTGTTAGAGCTTATGACCGAGCACAAGCTGACATGAGGTAGTTTACTGTTCAGGGTCGAAGGTTCCCTGGCGCGCATTCTTTCCTATGGACGAGAGCTCTAGTTAGATTCAGGGTCCATCATTGTTTAGTCTCGCTGATGAAGAATGTTGATTATTACACTCTGAACTAGGGCTGGGCGATATATCGAGTTTACACGATATATCGTGGATTGCACTACATGCGATGTCGTAAATGACCACATCGTGAACATCGAGTATTATGCATAGCCGTGGGAACATGTCTCAAATGGGGGGTGCTGTGGGGGGAAGATTTTTTTTCAACATTATAAAGTAAAATGCTTCAATCTGGTGCACTTTGAGCTGAATTGCCAGAGACTAGATCTAAGGGGTACAACTCTAAACACCCATATCGAAAAGATCGGTTTACATTTTAATAATCAAATAAGTATGTGGACATAACCAATAACCTAACATAGCCAATAACANAATACTTTTTAAGACCCCGCCGACACCCTGTGATATATAGGATTTACATCAGGTGGACATTTTCCAATTATAAATCACTTCTACAAAAAACATATTTACTATGTNAAGTGACTAAATAGTTCAACACACACACACAGATAAACTGGAGCACATCTCCTAAGAATTCACAAAAACACAGGCCTCACACAGAGACATGCAGCCGGAGGAGAAGGAGAGAGGCCACTGCAGCTTTCCTCAGGTCCTTTAAGGAGGCCCTGATTGGGGATTGGGAGCACCTGGGGAGAGGCTGCACCTGGAGACAATCAGGGAGAGAGAGAGAGAGACACACAAACACAAGCACCCACTGCAGCACGTACCACTCACTGATAAAGAATGTTGATTATTACAATCCGAACTAGTTAAAACCTCGAGCTGCAGAAAGAGTTCTTCAGAATTGATTTGGCAACCGCTGTGTCAACTCGTGACACTCCACCTGTCTTGTCAATTCTCCGGCCGTAACTCCAAATAAACCGTCAGTGTTTGCCGTCAAAGCTCCAGCTCTCCTCGTGTCTCTCTGAGTCCTGACTCTCCATTGCTTCAGAAGGTTCCCCCACAGTAGTCAGCTTTTTCATGTTCTAATATACTCCTCCTCTTGTTTTACGATACGATGATTCTTTAATGGTCAGATCAAGTCTGAAATGTGACTTGCATCACCGCAGCTCCATGTGTAACATCAACAAAGACAAATATCAAGACACAATACATGAAAAACAAACATTTAAAGGGGACCTATCATGCTATATTTGAATAATATATTGTAGGGCCATACCTATATAAAGTATATTTATAAGTTTTATTTGTCAAAATACCAAACAGATCATGCATTTTAGCCATGCCTCATTTTGCCTCACTCCAGCTCTGTCTTTGCATGAGCTGGAGCTGACCCCCCCCCGGGGGCGAGGCACAAGCGTCATGTTACTATGCTGTTGCCATGCTGTTGCTATGCTGTTGCCATGCCACGGCAACCTCTTATTCCCCTGATAGGTGGAGAGTTGACCATACAGGCGGAGTGCACCTCTGTGACATCATAGAGGTGCAAATCAGAATCCACATGTATCAAATCCGTTGCAGCCCCGTTTTTAGAGATTTGGGTATGGAGGGAAAGAGAGGGGGTTGTATTTTCTGACACTTGGTGAGTTCCCTAAAGTACTAAAGTGCATTTTGCATGATAGGTCCCCTTTAACATAACAGCAGGATCAGTGGGAGAAAATTACCCTTTAGCGTGCATTTGATCTGGGATTCAGCTCTGTATATTTCTTATTGTCCCTCTCCCCTTCCTCTCTGGTCCACAGGGGGTTCGAGCGGTCATCGCGGAGAGTTTTGAGAAGCTGCACGTGAAGCAGCTGGTGGGGGTGGGCATCGTGCCGCTGCAGTTTCTGCCCGGCGACAGCGCCGACTCTCTGGAGCTCAGCGGGAAGGAGAGGTTCAGCGTGACTCTGCCCGAGAGCCTGAGCCCGAGGCAGCAGCTCACTGTCAAGGTACTGTTTATGTTGTTGTTTGTTTGTTGATGTCTGTACCTGGGACTGTTGAAAGCAGTGTTGAATAAATTGAATAATTATTCAATTGATGTTTTTCTTTTTGGGGTGTTGAAACAAGTACCATTTTTAGGGTTAAAAAAAAGATAGATAGTGCAGCAACAGTCCGGCAGTGGCTCAGTCAGTAGGGGCTTGGACTGGGAGCTGTAGGGTGATATCAAGATTTACAAAGATTTACCAAAATAAAAGATTAATTTTTCAGTTTTTGGCCTCTAAGGGGCAGAAATAAACAGTTCTGTCTTATTATAACTAGGGATGCCAGTTATTAATACTATTACTATTATTAGCATTAGTCTATATTTTGGTTGAAACTAAGCCAAAAAAAAAAACATAGTTAATAATAAAAAAATATATAAATAAAATCGAAATTTTAAAAATAATTTTCGATTCTGGAGACTGTAACGAATAATCGAATAATCGCTGGCATCCCTAATTATAACCATCATAAACATCGCAAAAGATTACACGTTTTGGTGGATTATTATTTACATACACTCGCTCCACATACAAAGCAACATTATTATCCAATTTTAGGCCACGTTTCTACCTAAGTAGATCCACTATTCACCTCTTTTTCTCGGATACATGTATCTTGCTCATTGGCTGCTAGATGATTTAAAAAAATAACCTTTCAATAAAAGCATGTTGATGAATGATTTAGTAAACGTGTTGTTTCTGTGTTCCCTTACAGACAAGCCAAGGAAAGTCCTTCCTGGTCACCGCACTGTTCGACACGGAGATGGATGTTATCTTTTTCCAGCACGGAGGCCACCTCAGATATGTTGCTCGGACTTTTCTCTGAAGGCAAAGCTCTTCTCACCGCCATCATATTACCAGTTAGTCTTCAGCATGGATGAAAAACTTTAAGCTAACGGAGCAATGTAGCGGCGGATGATCCGCCTGTTTGAGGTGGATCAACATCTCCTGACTTTTCGTTTTCAGACCGAGCTGCTTCTCCGTCACCACACATGGTTGTTCCTGCCGTCGTGTCTCCTCACAGAACAGAAACAGAGCGCAGGAAGACGTGATGACATTTTGTTTTATTGCTTTGGAAACCAGATTTTCAGTGTACTGACTTTTCTTTCTTCATGGAGGAGAACTGAATCTGCTTCTGTTGTCGTCTGACACAGTGCTGCAGCATGAATACTTTTATTTTTAAGGGTGTGTCGTATTCTGTTTTTACCAAAATCCCAGTCTTATTATGCAGGATTGATGTCAATTGCCCATATTTCCCATTGTGGCTTTATCATTTTATGTAAATTAATCTTGTTTTTATTTGATACAAATTCCATTTTACAATTGTCTCCCATATCTCAATTTGTGTTTTGTGGAAACTATGGAGGTTTTGCTTTTTCACTTAGCTACATAACAATGGCTTCTTCCTAACATCTGACAATCCTCTGTATCACAATAAAGCTAAATTATGAGTCAGCCTAAATGAGTTATTGATAACCCACCTAATCTAACGGTTTGACTAATTTACTGTTTGTAAGTATAACTTGCTTTATCAAAATGTAAATCAACCTAATTGTTGCTTCTGAAGAGCTTTCACTCGTGTATCTTTAGTGCACGTGTGTCCATTTGAACGCTCTCCAGCCTTATTATTATTATTATTATTATCATCATTAGGGGAACTGCACAGATTGTACACATCAAAGTCTGTTCACAGGTCTACTAATTTAAAGAGGACATATCATGCAAAATGCACTTTGTGATATGTGTACACGGTGTGTCGGGGAACTCACGCAGCGTCAGAAAATAAAACCCTCTCTCTTTTCCTCCGTACCCAAATCTTTTAAAAACGGGGGGTGTACAACGAGCAGATACAGATTTGCTGCCGATCTGATGTTGAATCGGCAGCAGACCCACAGAAAGTTGCTATCAGAAACAATGCCTGACGTGTTTTGGACGTAATCTCGTCTTTGTTTACATTAGCAAGCCTCGCTAACACAGAGCACGTGTTTAAAAAGCAGGAAATAAAAAAAGGAACTCACCTTGTGATAAACCCGCAAGAGAAAAAGCATTTGAGCTCCATGTTGTTTCAGAAATAATCTTTGATGTGGTTTAGAACAGGATGGCGTTTTATCACAGCAGAATTGAACTTTATCTGAATTCTAGAATTCTGATCGGGCATTAGCTCCGCCTCCTATTATTTATTTTTTTAAAGCTAAGGACCCAAAATCCGCGTTTCTCTTACAGGGCTGCAAAAGAGAGGTATGAGCAATATGAGGCATGGATACAATGGGTGATCTGTTTGGTATTTTAAGCAAAAAACTTCAGACATGTTTTGTATAGGTATGGCCCTACAATATATATTTTCCAATATAGCATGATAGGTCCACTTTAAAATAAAGTTGTATAAATCCTCAAGAATCTCCAGAGTGAGCTGCGCAAAATTTGATAAATTGCATTAATTGATGGTGTACAATTCGGCTTATTAAGAAGCTGAAAACCGAGTCTAAGAAATAAAATAAATGAGTTCATCTGACCTTGCAGCTTAAGGTAGGGAAGGTAAGTACACAGCCAAAAAAAATCTGCCTCTTCCTTCAGACTTCCTTACAGAGCCCCTCCTCCAACACACACCAACGCGCACATGACCAATGAGGGCACGAGATAAGTTTGTGCACGAGATGGAAGGCTGACAGGCAGGTAGGCCATCCAGTTATTTTAGCCGGGCCGGCTCAGATGATTAGTCGTGCTTTTTGCAGTGCCACGGCTTCCACAGATGACGTTTTTTTATTTATTTATTGAAAAAGCATTTAATATATTCATTGCTATCGGGATGTTAAGAGCATTCCATGGAATATAACAAAAAGTGTTTCTGAAGTGAATGACCTACCCCACCTTTAAGGCTTCATTGGCTGCTACTAGCATAGCAACCGGATATCTGACTGAGCTGTCTGAGTTGCATTGTGGTTAATGGAGGCGCCAGATTTTGAAAAACACTTCAGTGTGGAATAAAAAGACAATTTTATTTATGAAGCCAGTTTAACTTTGCAGTTTCTTTTCCAAAATAGTCCCACTTAAAAACTGGTAAAAATGTTCATACCTGGTCCTTGATAAATAAAGGAATTCTAATCGTCGTGCTGTGAAGCTGCACGAGTGTAATCAGGGGCGCCGCCAGGGATTTTGGGCCCCATTAAAAGATATCACATTGGTTATTTAAACATTTTTTTCTTAATGTTCTAAAATTGTTTTGGGCCCCTGTCAGTCACGGGCCCTTAGAATCGTTCTAACTTTTCACCCCCTTACGGCGCCCCTGAGTGTAATCATGGCATCAGTTTACTTTCCTTACATCACTTTCACTTCAATCATGACTATGGACTTTACACATGCATCTTGCATGAGGATATTATCATAACTTGTGATAATTGATAATCAATACTCTATTATTGAGCTGCTGAGATCTGAAGTTTGAACTGATATAAAAGTGAATGGAAACCAGCCCCCCAAGTTGACACACTATATAGCCTACTATGACTTTTAAAAGTAAGACACAGAAGTCAGAAGCTCTTAATGAAATTTCCAAGTGTAAACAGTGCAACTTTTATTGATTTGTTTCAAAAGTAATTTCTATGACACATGACATACAGTATGAAGTCACACCAACAACCAGATTTAAGTGCTGTCTAACAACAGTTTAAAACAAGCGTGCATCTTACTGTGAGAAAAACAAACGGAAAACTGCAAAGAAATGTCTGCAAGTTAAGAGATGACGACAAATGACACAGCTTCAATTAAAGTGTGTGCAAATGTGAAATTAAAGCTGTAATCAAAGGATGGCACCGGTTTGATACCGTTTGCAGGATGACAGGATGAATTAGGTTCATTATGACAGTATGTTTAGTATTAGACATTAATCTCATGTCTACAAGTCAGCATCAAATCCTTTTTTTTTTTTGCCCATTTACTAGAAATCACACACAGTTTTATTTAGAGATGAATCAATCAGACAATCAACAGAAGTATTCACCAACAAAGATGTTAATTAGTAACAGTGCATCAAGCACAAATGCCCTCCCGTCGCCGGTTCCACTTTCTCTTTTTCTGTTTAGAGTAAATCAAAAAGGTACCCTGTGGATTTTTGTTTACAGTTGTATTTACATTCACTGTTTCTCACCAAGGTGCTACTTAGCGCTCTAACAGATGAGTTGAATTCACTTCCAGAGCCATCTTTTGTGTGAAACAATATGAAATATACAATTGTTTGTTATATTTACAGCCATCCATTTACTAGCTAGCGGTCCTACTCCGTGGCCGTTTCTCAAATGTCGAGTATACCTGCTGCAGAGCCACTATTTCAAGTATACTACGTCATCGAGTGGCGCTGAAGGACTGTTTAAATGCCCAGCATTCAGTTCGATGACGTAGTATACTTGAAATAGTGGCTCTGCAGCAGGTATACTCCACATTGAGAAACGGCCCTTGACTTTGTTGGCTAATTGCTGCCACAAGCTGTCGACCAGCAGAAAACCAGCAAAAACATGTGGAGAACAAACGTACAAAAATGTCTCCATAATGCCGTTACTGGTCAAAACTCCACAGGGTACCTTTAAAACAAAACTGTATAGATTAACCCATTGTATGATGACACCTTAGGCTCTGGGAACCATTTTTACAATATTTTGAGTCATTTTATAGACTAAGCATTTAATTGTCAGACAAAAACAAAATGAAAATAAGTGTTAGTTGCAGCCCTCGTATTACTGACAACCACGTCTCAAAGAAAGACTCAGAACCCTCACATGCAGGCAGCCTTTGGTTTGCATTAAGTCACTAACGCAGGAGAATCCACTTGCAGAGACTTGAAGCTCTTCAGGCTGATCCTTACAGTGGAAACGCAGCATTTACTGTATGACTAGTCATCAGTGAAGCGTTAACCTGGCACTTACAGTTCTGCATTACCACGGGACAATGATGACATATTCATAAATCTCACTGTGAGGATTATCCGTTTCAAGTCTGTGCAAGTTCATTTTCATACAGAAGGCTTTCTGGAAAGTAACACGTTCACAAAGAAAACAATGTAGCGTTATAAACTAGAATATAGTGGAGAAAAAAAAACTTAATTTTTAGTAAATGGGCTTTAACATGAGACGCCAGTTTGGTTCAACTCAGCTTTGACATTTTGTGGCTGTTCTCTACAACTGAGAACATATTTCTCCCATTTTTTTTTAAACCCCTAAACACCCCTCTGACTTCAAAAGGCACAGACATGTGTAGTTATAAGAGTAAAGTTTGATTGAAACAAGATCTACAAAAAGTGAACTCACAAGCTTTAACCTACGATGCCCCCCCCCCAACCGCAGCGGTAATAATCTAATGCCTCAACACCCTGCACCCATAGTAGTTTAAATCTTAAAGAAAAACAAACAATAACAACAACATGGCTGGTATTTCATTATCTTATCCACCTGGTGGAAGTGCTCAGAATTTTTTGTATCCCTTTGAGTCATTTAAAAGCAGAAACAGAGTGAGACTCGAGGCCACTTTCTTCACCTGGGTCCCCAGAGAGTGTGCTGAGAGAGCAGCCGCGCTGTAAACAAGACCCACTGCTGATGGAGGAGAAATCCTGAGAACAACGGACTCATTTCCCTTCTCTTGTGGAAAACTAATGGAATCATTCACCTGCTTTCTCTTTCTCGTGGGTCCTTAGTCTTTGTATACTGTATGCAAACTCTTTTTTCATCTAATAAGAAAATATTTGTGGAAGGTTAAATGAAAATATACAATTATTAATACAATAGAGTACAGAGCTATATGTTAAAGGTGATTAAAAAAAACTGGTTGATTGTATCTCCCTTTACAATGCGCGCATTTTCCTTGGTTTAAAGGCAAGAGGTAAAGTGTATAAGAAGAAGGCCGCCTGGAGAGAAGGAGCTCCAGCGCTAGGCGATAGCTTTGGCTTCTGGTAAGAAAGCCTCCCAGTACTTTATGAGCTGCAGAGAGAAGAGAGACAGGGTCAGGGTCCTTCCTATTCAACACATGAGAAGGGGTTATAACACACAGGGTATATGCAGGAATCCTGAAGTCAGATGTAAAACCTTTTAAGACCTTTTTTAAGACCCTTTCCATACATTTTAAGATCTCATCGCCACTTGGAGTTTTAACCGGTTACCTTGGCGACACACTTTACCTCACATTGACTATATACAGTATTGATTGTCCTTCCTCCTTATCTTCCAACCATTTGGACGCAAACTTGCATTTCCCCATAACGATGTTGTTTAACAACCGGCGTAAACAGACCTTCGCGCTATCAAGCAGTGAGCGTGCGATGTCCTGTTCAGATGACGTCAAATCCAACGGGATGCCATAAATAAACTACACAGAATCACACTACACACCTACGCAATGATTACATTCAGGCAGACTGTAGAATACAACCTCTTTGGACAATTTATATACCTATTGAAAACAAGCTAAAAAGT